ACGGACGGACAGACAGACATGGCTTAATCGATTTCTTTTTTCATCCTGATCATTTATGTATACATTTGTCTATATCTATCTCGATTCGTTTTGGCTGTTACAAACAACCGTTATGTGAACAAAATTAATATACCCTTGTGCACAAGTGCGCTCGGGTATAAAAAAAAACACAAATTTTATTTAAGTGTGTCCCCTCGTTCATAATCGCTTTGCAATCTTAATGATGATGTTACAGCTGTGCTGTGCAGTGCAACGAACTTGCTGCTCTATCTGGAAGCGAGTGCTAATAGCTGATAGCTGACTCCATGACTTTTCAGTTCAGTGGACAGCCAACTAGGCAGACACTAAGTCAGCCGCCAGTTAGTGAGTCAGTGAAGCAAAACTATAAAAACAACGTTGGAAGATCAGTGAACGCCATCGGTTGAACTCGAAATGCCTGTGCAGCAAGCGGACAAAGGCAAAGCATGGCATGGCATAGTAAACAAAAAAAAAAACAAAACGAATAACAAAGTAGTGAAATTAAAAAGAAAAAAGAAAGAAAACTTAATTCAAAGAGCAGTGAATGTGCGTTTATCTGAGAAAGCGATGCGAGCGCGTAATTAGAATCAAATTGTGCCGCTTTGGCTGTCATNTGAAATTAAAAAGAAAAAAGAAAGAAAACTTAATTCAAAGAGCAGTCAATGTGCGTAATCTGAGAAAGCGATGCGAGCGCGTAATTAGAATCAAATTGTGCCGCTTTGGCTGTCACTAGGGAGTTTAAGTAGTTTACAAATTTCAAAGTTTTTATGTAGATGCATCGTATGTATATTCCCTTCTTTCATTGTTAGTATTTACAATGCTTTAATCTTTGTGGCATCTCGATGTATACATACAAGAGACAAAATAATGAAGGTGGCAATGACTTTGAAATTTCCTGCAAAAGTGGTGATGAGTAATACATAATTAATTGTTTTAGTTAATTGAACAGTCACGATTGTTATCACCTTCGAAAAAACGGTACCTACAAAATTAACAATCTACTTTTTTCCATAGTTACAAAGATTTCAAAAAGTACAAAGATTTCAAAAAGCTAAATATACTTTCTAACAAAAATATAAATCTATCCTAAAAAGAAATTTTTCTTTGGCGAGTTGGCTGTTAGTGAAGTTGAACACTACATAAGAAACTTTTGATTGTCGCTTATCTGGGAATGGCTGCATACGAGAACATGAACCCCACCTGGGGCCACCAACGACAAAACGGCTTAAGAGCTCATCGAGACTTGCACTGTCTTGGACAGATCTGCTCGCTTTATGTGTTCTCTAAAATTTGTTACCCCCATATAAAAATCTTGTTCAATGATGCCCTCGTGAGAGCATCTCCAACCAAGAGACGTGCTCCTCCACACCACATACACATAGAGGATTATGGGTTTTATCATAAAGGTATAAATCCTTAGATAATAAATACTTTACTGCGGCAGAAATTTGAAGAGTGACTCCTTTAAGACAAGGCCGTCCGTTCAATCTTCTCTTTCTAGTGAAGAGCACAACACTAATTTTGGTTGGGTTGGCGGACAGCGCATTCTCACTGTACTGTAAAGAGCAAGTCAGACAGGGCAATATGTTTCGTATGCAATATACCCGTATTTTGAAAAGCCTGTCGAAATGAGAAATTTCAGAAAGCAGTTGCGTGAGCACTAACACCTTGCTTGAAAAGTGTCTTTCGAAAGAGGTTTTTTTTTATTTCCGAAAGCCGAATTGCAAATTGCTAGTGCAGCACGAGCAAGTTGAAATATATTTCCGATCGATTTGCGCGCTTTGGTTTGCAGTCACACCTTGCAACTTTCATTTCTAAAACTTAGTTTCGAAAAGTGGCAGAAAAGTCTTTCTGGCTGTTCACGCATGGCAATAAAATTTCTCTTTCAATTCGACAGCGAATTGCGTGGAAAAGTTGGAAATATTGCAAAGTCTGCCACGATCTTTAGTCTAAAGTCATAGTAAGTGTTATTTGCTTGCAAACAACTTAAAGAAAAGGGCCTGTAATGAGCCAGGTCACATCATCTGGATATACCTGTGCGTATGCTGGCCACAATGTCCGTGATGTTCAACCTAGTAGCATTTTTTTCTCAGCAAGGGACGAATTAACTGTCTTTAGGGCTCAAAAAGACATCTGCTTGCCCTCCAATAGCAGGTCGGCGCCTCTAGCACTGGAAGCACACAAGACAACCGTAAGCTAGTAGGGAATTGTCTTCAGCTTTTAATAATCTTCGGATCCAGAATCGAGGTTAACTCGTTTGCTTATCGAGACACAGTCAAATCCTGGGCAATAAAGCGTTCGATATTTTTGCCAGAAAAGGGACTGCACATCATAGACTCAATCTGCCTTGGAGCTTCGTTAAATACGGAAGATAACAGAAAGCCTAAATCACTTATCCCGGATACATTAACAATGGGAACCAACGCACTCCTTCACCTTACAAGGCACAAAGTACAAATTTTTACAGATTTTACGACTAGCCGCAGAGAAAATTATTAGCCTCTGTGAAGCCGTTGCTATACCCAGAATTTGCTTCCTGAAATCTTCGTACTTTCATGTGGGTCAGAGAAGTCTAGAAACTAAATGGAGAGGCAAGAGAACGGAAGATTTACAGATACATATCGTCACTAGACACGAATAAAGGCGCGCTAGTGTTTTGACGGCAAAAAGAAAGACGCGTAAAAAATCTGACGAAAAAAGACGCTTAAGAAAAACTACGGCGAAGAAAGACACGTAAACATAGATTTATACCTGGCCAAGGACTGTCACTCCAGCATCATTACCCAAAAACTCTGCGGGGAATTTATATACTGTTACACCCGTAAACATAGTTGACCGCGAAAATGAGTTTACGCGTCTTTTTTCGGCGAGAACTATGTTGAGAGCTTTCTGAAGTTTTTTATGCGCCTTTTTTTCGCGGTCAACTTATTCGTGTCTAGTGACGTAAATTTTAAGTCTCCAATTTTAAAACATTTGGGATAATAGCTCAAGAGTTTTTTATGACTTCGACCAGATAGGAAATTTAATTCAAATATTTTCTGATTTTCTTTATGAATCGCCCCCAAATCTATGCCACTGTTTTGAAGTATCGAAAACTTTTTATTCATTTATTTTCAGTGGACTTGAATAGTCGCATCTTCAGTCACAAAGGTGGCATCCAAGTGCCCACCACAGGCGTGAATGCAAACAACAATCCCAACAGTGTTATAGTCAATTCTTACGCTAGCACCAATAACAACAACAACAATCCGAACCTTAATCTAAATCCCGTTTATAATGCGGCAACCTTGCAACGTAACGGTATTTATCTGCCTCAAATGAACGATCTATCTGAGGGTGGAGTCTATGGGCCACAACAACAACAACAATTGGCCCCACAGCAGCAGCAGCAGCAACCACAATATGTGGTGCCACAAGGTAAGCGTACAATCTTTATAATATAATAATATTCTTAAAATTTATAAAAAAAATTCTTGGCAAAAAAATTACCACAAAAAAAAACTAAACAATTAAGGCCACATGATGCTACCGCCGAATGTACAGTGGCAGATGCAACAACAGCCACCACCACAACAGCAACAGCAACGAGTGGTGCCGCAACAACAGCCACAGCGGGCGCCACCACAACTACAACAACAAATACTGCCTATGCCTCTGCAACCGGGACCAGCTTATATAATAAATACAGTTGAGCAGCAACAACAACCAGCAGCAGCACCAGCCGACAAGATAGCCACAGCTGAGACCGCGCATGCTGGCACAGCTACGACTGCCACCAACGCGGAAAATACCGCACCCCAACAGCAACCGCAACCAGTAGCGCAGCAGGCGGCAGCACAAGTGGCCTTAGCAGCAGCGGCGAAGTCAAATGCAGCGCTTGGCGCGACCGCACAGACACCGGACGCCAGCAAAGTAGCTGGCAAAACTGCTGAAACGCACGCCGCTGCCGAGGAGGAATATGAAGACTCTGATGAGGAAGAAAAGTCCACGGAGGCGCCAAAGAAAGTAAGAAATGAGAAGGAACAACGCTGCGTATGAGCAACCTTAGCTCACAGATGAGTCACATGGTTGCTCATACGCACGCGCACACCGTTTTTTTTTTTGTAAAGGAACTACAGTGCTATCTGGGTCGAGTGAACTAATTAATGCAAGACCAGTTCATAGAAAACAGATTGTTCACTATATCCAGATTGAGTTTTTTGTTCTTTAAAGTCAATTTTATTGCGCAGTGCGTCTTTTAAAGTTAGATTTTTAAGAACTCTGAAATGTCGTCTTTTCCCTCAGCTAATGCCAACACAGGTTTCCTGTTGTTGTTGTATCGTTGTCGTCAAGGAAGCGTGCAGCCTCGATGGGGTCTGTCCATAAGGCCAGAGGCGTTAGCAGGTGGGGTTCAGTGGGCATGCGAAGATATGCTGCGAGTCATGGCGCGTCTCTCCGTATGCCGGGAATTCATTTGGCCCATCGTTTGTCTTCTAGTAGCGTTACTTGAATAGTTCTCTTACATGGGGGGTTTCGGTTAAGGCCACGAATTATTTGGGAGTTTATGGCGTCAAGTGCTGTTGTTGTGCTGTGCACTTTATGGAACCCATTCTGATGCTTCGCTGGGGTCTAGTGATTTGTGTAGTGTGGGAGTAGAAGGGCCTCTAGTGTCTTCGCTACCGGGGAAAGGTGAGCTATCGGGTGAGAAGAGTCTCCTTTGTTGGACGGTTTCCCCGGTTTAAGCAGTGTAACCACTCTCCCCGTTTTCCAGATGTCTGGTACGATGAGAGTGGCCATAGATAGGTTGAGGACCTTGGTTAGATAGTCCACTCCTCCAGGACCCAAATTTTTGAGCATCAGCATGCAAATTCCGTCGGGTCCAATGGCTTTGGAGACTTTCGTCTTCCCGATGGCTATCCTTACCTTGTCGCTGGAGAAAAAAGAGGCGCACTTAGTGTTGACAGTTTGTGCAGCCTTCTGGTCGCTCTACGTTTGGCTTTGTCTGCCGGAGGATACTGCATCCTTCGGCTAAAATAGCTCGCGCATCGCTCCGGGTTCGACGTAGCGTGGTCGCCAAAAGATATTTCAACTCTGTCATCACGCTTCGTCGGATTGGACAATCACCTCACGGTTGACCAAAGCTTGCTCACACCAGAGGCGAAGTTACAGGTCTTCAGATGGTCTTCCCATTTCTTCCGCTTATGTACGTTCACTAGTTGCCGAATTTCCGAGTTGAGATCCCTGATACGGGGATTTACGGGATCGGCCTGGCGAAGAGATTACCTTTTTTGTTATCAAATTCGTCGTTATAGTTTTGAATTTGAAAGGAATTGGTTTTAAATTTTGTTCACTCTACAAAGACTCAAAATTGTTCACTCTATAGAGTACTCAATGGAAAAATTTTCATGTTCACTCTTTCGAGGTGTTCGTAGCATCGGGTGTTCACTCCAGCCAGATAACACTGTAACACAAAAAAGGCACGCTGCTATATGTGTACATATGAATGTATATTTATAACAAATGCGCTCAAATCTAAATTTAAATTTATTTTACTGAACCGGCGATTTCATTGCAGAAACACAAACACAAGAAATTGGCCGCCATCCAAAAGGCGGATGCGAAGAAGAAGCCCCAGCTGGATCCGATCGAATTGGCGCTTGAAGAGCAACGACAACGCGCACCCGTTCCATTGCCCTTACACGAACAATACCGAATGATACACGAAAACCTCGGTTTGGAATTTCGCGATCACGACGGACAATCAGAGCGTCCGGGCGGCGCTATGCTCTCGCTGACGCTGGGACTGCTTGTCACGGCGGCGCTCGCCATACTCATTGGCTGTCGCATGCGCACCGTGGGTCGACGCACACGTCGCATGGGCGGCAAGACGCCTTATTCGCATGAGGCTGATTTCCTAGTGAACGGCATGTACTTGTAAGGCCACTCGAGGAGCCGAGGAGAGGGAGTGATGTTAACGGCTGATACTCCGGCAAGATACTAGTTTAGCGCGGCTGTGGTGAATAAATAGAACAACAAAAGAAGAACATCAAACTAATACATATTTACGAATGTAAGCGTGTGTGTGAATTTTTGAACGGACGTACCCCAAAGTAACGCTTATAGGGTATGGAGAAGACCCGCACTAATGGGAAGGAATATCGACTTAGCATAGTACTCTCGATTTTTTTTCTAAACTCGATTTTTGTTTTGTTTTAATTTTTATTCACTAAAATATTTAGCCTAGTTTTAAAAGTAGAGTGTATGTATGTATGTAACTAGAAAATGGGCCGTATGAATAAAAACTAAGCAGTTGCTTTTTGTTAAAATGCCAGATCTCTTACATATTTAAGTAAAAGGTCTGAAATTTTAAGAAAAAAGCCATTTCATAGTTTTTATTCCTACGGCCCAATATCGAAATCGATAATATTACCCTTTCACAGATAAAAAGTTTCCGAGGTGCATTTTCAATAAATTTGCTTGTACTCGACTAGTAACGACCAACAGACAGAGTTCTTCAGAGATTCTACAGTTCCGAACGGGAAAAAACTCTTCGCCCGGACACCATAAACGTTCTCTTCATTAGCTTGTAAGAAAATGAAAAAAATGCCAAGTGGATTCCACTGCAGGGTATAAAATCACTAAATATTTGCAACAATATATTTCGTTTGAAATTTTAGTTAATTTATAGATTATAACTTAGTTCCTTGGATGGACGTTATTATATACTCTGGTTGTCTTCATTTTTGAGTTCTTATTTGAGTTCTTATATTTGAGCCGACTTTCCTCGGTGTTGTTGTTTGAAAACGAAACAAAAACGATAATTTGGCATCATCGCTGGCGTTATCAACATTTATCGGAAACATGTCGGTGTTACCCATTTTGAAACAAAGATTGTAACGTTATCTCATTGTTAAGAATTAAATTGAAATGATTGTTGTTAACTTTCCTTCGCCAGTTCAAGCGACGATAAAAATGACAACGCCAACGGGAATACGCCCGATTATTATTATACTTGAAACCTAGTAAAAAATCTGACCGTCGTCTAAGTTGGAGTGAGCACTTGGTGGGGAGCACATTCAAATATTGTTGAAGAAGATTTGGTAGTATACTAAACAACATTTTATAAATGTGAATGATACTAAGTAAATAAACTGATACTAAATGTTGAAAAATAAAATAGCTATAAAAACAATATCTATTTAAAAGTTATTTTTTATAAACAGATATATTTACGAAGGTAAGTTAATGAAATCTCTCAAAAATCAACACATGAATCAATTGATGCCTAGATAAGGTTGGGTAAGGTGGCAGGCCGGCGTATGGCTCACTTTGACTTTAATTGTTAGCAGTGTTACCATTTCCGCGGGAAGTTAGAAAAGGCACTCGATGCTCAAAATAAGGTTCCGCAGGCAGCTGATGTCGGCTCCAGAAAGTTCCTCGTCTGTGTTGTTGAAATACGAGCAGAGGTGTTTGAACCTTTATATAGTGAATGGCGGGCAGCTGAGCAGGAAGTGTTGCGGCGATGATTTCACCTCGTGGCGGCACTTTCTAGTCAGTATACCTGTAAGAATCGAGAATTAGCGCTTAGCCGGCTGCAGACGTCCCTTTGATCGCTCGCGGTCGACCACCGCCCGCAATAACTTTGCAACTTTGCATGTAAGGGTTTTTGCCCAGCGCTCGCTGAGCCGACAGTCAGCCCATCTAGCTAGGAGTAGTCCATAGCTTGCAAAAAGAACGCATATGCCCTTCCTGTCCTGGAAGATGACCTACCTAGCCAGTTCAACAGCCCTGAAATTTCCTGAAATGATGCTGTGTACTGCACTTAAATTAATTTGATTTGAAAATATTCCGAGGCGATTGATAAATTGGTCAGGCATTCCGCAGCCATTTTCAATCGGCCATGAGCGATCCTGGGACTTGGATTTCAACTTGGCTATCAGAGTAGATAACTACCCTTGTGAACAGTGATAGTGTTGCGTGGTCAATCGGCTGTGTTTTTTTATAGTAGCCACATTTGCCTTAAAAGGGCTGCAAAACTTCGGCAGCCCGAAATTGATATTTACGGAGAGTTCGTGACAAAACACAACCTCCTCCAACTCTGTGGTCAAGCTCTGATTCATCTGTGAATATATATATGAACTGCACTCTATTTCAGAGGCTGCCAATCTCCCATTCAGCTCTTAGAGGTATGTATGTTGGCAGTGATTCTTTCGGGGCAAGTCTCGGAACGTTCCGATCCATTTCTTCCGGCCTGAAGTCGATGTTTTTAAGAATAGCTGAATGCTCTAGTTGTTTTTGTAGCGGCAGTACTAAGCCCCGCTTAGGTCGGTTTGTCGATCAATCGTTTTCAAGCTCTTTCGATAGGGTCGGACCAAATGGAGAGGGGTGTCAGCTGAATGGTATTGAGCTGCATATTCAAACTTGGCAAATCCCCGAAATTCAACATCAAACATGAATATGGGCACTGGGTGCCCAACTCAAGGTTCTAAAGTCAACGAGATAAACTTCTTTCAACTTTCAATGGTATCTTTGTTAAATACCATTTATCATGAAACATATAGCTTTACAATGTTATGTTTTATTTATTTTCAGCTCCTCCAATATTAAATTTATTATTCGGAGTTTAGGATTCACAGAGGATGATTAAGCATTTGGGTCTCGCTGTGAAGCTGGTGCTCAGGCTACATCAGAAGGCATACTGTCGCTATCCGGAGTTCGGCGTTCTGACAAGTTTGCCCACTTCACTGTTCAGGTACGTGTTCAACCTGATGCTGCTGTTTCGGCGATCTAACTGTTTAGGTTAGCGAAATTTCTAATTGAAATACTACTTTAAACAAATGCAATGAGTAAATGTTTCGAATTTGTATACTCTTTTTGCTCAAAAAAACATTGTGTCTTGGAAGTATGAAAAAGCATCTGTGAAGTGAAGAACTAAATCGTATTCGAACGAAACTACAGACTTTGAAGTTGTTTAAGCCAAATTCATTTGAAAGTAGTTGAAAATACATACAGGAAAAGGCAATTGACTGCTTCCTAGGACATCGCCATGTTAAATAAATGAATTCGCTGCAGGTAAAAAAGTGAGAATTTCAATTAGTTATCATTGAGAATAAAGTAGTTTATAAATTACGTTCAAACAAATTCGATCTCCTGCAGGGTAACGACAACACCTTCTAACTTTTATATGATTTTAAGTTGAACGAATAACCGACGCGTTCAGATGCAAGTAACCGGTCATTTAAGCACAAGAGGTGTGAAGTGACTTATGCCGCCGCCGGATCAAGCCTTGCTTGACCCTGAATCATTGCCACCAAATCGAACTGACGGTGAGNCTTCTAACTTTTATATGATTTTAAGTTGAACGAATAACCGACGCGTTCAGATGCAAGTAACCGGTCATTTAAGCACAAAAGGTGTGAAGTGACTTATGCCGCCGCCGGATCAAGCCTTGCTTGACCCTGAATCATTGCCACCAAATCGAACTGACGGTGAGTCCAGGAAATGTACTCTTTCGACGACGTCGAACCATAGGCAACACCGCGCTAAACAGTTCTTTGTNCTGTAATGCGATGCGAAAGAGAAATGCGATGCGATAGGCAATTGCACAGCGTATTACTTACGATATATTTGCCTATCGCATAGCATTACAGAGTAGCCCCCCTGGAAATGTACTCTTTCGACGACGTCGAACCATAGGCAACACCGCGCTGAACAGTTCTTTGCNTTAAGCACAAAAGGTGTGAAGTGACTTATGCCGCCGCCGGATCAAGCCTTGCTTGACCCTGAATCATTGCCACCAAATCGAACTGACGGTGAGTCCAGGAAATGTACTCTTTCGACGACGTCGAACCATAGGCAACACCGCGCTAAACAGTTCTTTGTATGTACTGAATTTGATTAATCTCCGACCAAACACTCTTGTTTCGCCAAAAATTTTCTTTAAAGCCTTGGACGACCCCTATTTATTCGTACGAGGTTTGCTCTTAGTGTAGCCGAATTCGACCGGCAACAGGCGTCAGTGCATATAATTGATGTTTTACCCTTTCGTCGGCTTTAGAAGAGACGAGCTAAGGATGTCCTGTTAGAGCGTAGAGTGGTTGCTCCGTTTATGTCGATTGACTAACGACCTATGTACCTATTTTTTCTATATCCTTAGAGAGCGTAAACCCTGGCTAGAGGGAATAGATCACACACGGAACGAGTCCAACCGTTTCCGTAATTTAACAGACTCCAGTTTCCTACATCCTTAGATAAAGGCGGTTGATTGATCTATGAAAGGCAGTTAAATGCATATAGACTTGCATTCGGAGTATTGGCCTTTGCAAACACTTTCCTAAACACACCAGGCATCATCCTATTTGTTAATTAGAAATAAATTGTTGGTGCTGGTTTTGGTGAACTCATGTATTTTGGAATGATTTTCGCTTCGTTCCAAAAACCATTATTTTTAATTAATTTTAAATGCATGCAACTCCATGTATGTATGTAACTGTGGTCACAAGGAATAACCGCCTAAGTCGACTTAAGANAGCCTTGGACGACCCCTATTTATTCGTACGAGGTTTGCTCTTAGTGTAGCGGAATTCGACCGACAACAGGCGTCAGTGCAGATAATTGATGTTTTACCCTTTCGTCGGCTTTAGAAGAGACGAGCTAAGGATGTCCTGTTAGAGCGTAGAGTGGTTGACTGTATCGAAGGCTTTCGATGCATTGCATTTGCATTGGTATTATAAAGCACGGTGGTGGGTCTCGGGTCGAAGTTGGGTCCAACGATGAGATGTCGCCGAATTTAATGCCAACATTGCCCTGCTGGATGGGAGAGAGTAAACATTGGACCAGCAGGTGTTGTTGTTGTAGCGGACCATATATCTTGCTCCGTTTATGTCGATTGACTAACCACCTACATATGTACCTATTTTTTCTATATCCTTAGAGAGCGTAAACCCTGGATAGAGGGAATAGATCACACACGGCACGAGTCCAACCGTTTCCGTAATTTAACAGACTCCAGTTTGCTACATCCTTAGATAAAGGCGGTTGATTGATCTATTAAAGGCAGTTAAATGCATATAGACTTGCATTCGGAGTATTGGCAAGTAGAGCCTTTGCAAACACTTTCCTAAACACACCAGGCATCATCCTATTTGTTAATTAGAAATAAATTGTTGGTGCTGGTTTTGGTGAAATCATGTATTTTGGAATGATTTTCGCTTCGTTCCAAAAACCATTATTTTTAATTAATTTTAAATGCACGTAACTACATGTATGTATGTAACTGTGGTCACAAGCAATAACCGCCTAAGTCGACTTAAGAAAGAATCGTTCCCACGACAGTCGGGTCTACGTAACCGGAACGACCCAGATTTATATCTGGCCAAGGACTGTCACTCCAGCAACACTCCCCAAAATCTCTTTGGGGAATTTGTATGCTGTTACAACAACAACAACAACAACTTAAGAAAGAATGGAGTTGTATATGCTATCGTAATCTTCAACCTCTATTCCAAGCGTATGTGTGAAATCCCCATCTCGCCAGCTAGGCTACTTAAAAAGTTAGAGGCAAGAATATTTTGGTTTCCCCATAAGGCTAACATTACAATCCAAATGTTTAAAACGTTTTTTCTCGAATTCAGGTTTTTCGACTTAAGCGGTCATTGCTTATGACCACAGATAATAGTAATCCTTGAAAATAGTATAAAAGCTACTTAGTTTTGTATTTTTATCGTAGTTTTTATTTGAGGCTCACAATTATGTTTACAATTTAAAGACAAGAACTTGTCGCCTGCTTCTCAGTTCCGTAGCTAGAATACATTTAATCGAACAGATTTATCAGCTCTTACGTTATCTTAATATTTTTTTTTGTGTTGAATATTTTTTTTTGCAATTTTGTTTCAATAACTGTTTGTATGCAGTTCGTCTTGTATAGTTTTGTTTCTATCTTGATATACCATCAGCGGTTTGGTTTATTACTTATTTAGTAAGTTTGCACAAAGTTTTGTTGGTATGTTTGCATATTTGTTAGCTTAATTTTTTATCTCATTACAAAAAGAAAACACAAATTATACGTAGTTCTATTTTCTAAATACATACAGCGATTTTCCATTTCTTTAAATATGCCAGTGTTATGCTTACTTTGTCTGGTTTTTTATAAAATAAAACCAAATATNCAGCGATTTTCCATTTCTTTAAATATGCCAGTGTTATGCTTACTTTGTCTTGTTTTTTATAAAAAACAAAATAGATCATAATAAGAAAAGCCAATGACATGTATGCTTCTAGTCCCTTGCTCCTACTCAACATCGCTTAATTATTACATATGTTTTTTGTGTTTTGTTATATAAGGTATTATTTTTTATAATTAATTACTAATATATATTATATAGTGTTATACATAGTTAGGAGAGATAATTTCCTTTTAAAATTATAATTTTTACCATTATCATTCTCTTGCAGGATGATGTTTGCAATTATTCGTTTCAAATGTTTTGCTGTTTTTGTTTTATTACTTGTGTTGCTGCTGATGTTACATAGTTTTATTTTAATGACGGGACTTACAAGATTAGGAAATCATGTTGCATATCTGTAAAAAATCAGGTTTTTAAATTAAATTTACAAAGAGCATTTGTTGCCCGGTTATTGGGCAAACCTTTTTGTCCAAAGTCGTGCGATTCTATCGTGTTCCTCACGATTTTGCAAATATTGAGTGGCGATGCTGCCCACCAGAGGGTCCGCTAAAAAGTAAAAAAGAAACAATGATAATTAGTAAACCAATGTATAATCAATATGAAGTAGAATGTCAATAAATTTACGATATGGTATAGATTTCGATTTAGTTAAACAATTTTTGGTAAATAAATTATGAACTTTAATATTGTTTTAGTCTAAAATAGGGTGCGTTTATAAATAGCGCTACGCAAAGGTGCAATTAAAGTCCTTAAAAATGTGCTCCAGGCTGAACTTCTTAATAGTGCTTGGTTTTTTTCATTACATACTTTGTCTAATTTCATTATATCATAGTCCCCCTTTAGCATGTCAATGATTACATAATATTTAAAATCTACTCAAAACTAATATGCAGTTTTAGCTATTCAACTTACGATTACATAGTATACATACTTTCATTTCTTAATGAGATATTTAAGTGTTAAACCATAATATAATTAATACATGCAAAATTTCAACTTACCAGGATTGCAATCAGTTAGCAGGGAACAAATTGACAGCAACACTTTTGAAATGGTCAACGCTGGTGACCAATTATCCTTGAGAATATCCAAGCAAATTACACCCTGACTATTTATATTGCAGTGATAGATACGCGTACGAAATGTAACCTTTGGCGGTTTGAAGGGATACTCCGGTGAAAAATGTATATCTAAAAAGAAGACACCTCCCTCGTACACTGAGCCAGGTGGTCCCAATATTGTAGAGACCCATTCATACAGATTATCACCTTTAGGGCCAGCACTGCAATTTGGTGGTGGATCAAGTGTTATTTCGGCCAATTCCTTTTGTATGCGCTTAGCTGAGGTACCCAATGCTTTGGAGATTTTTGGATTTGGTTTTGGATCTTTACGAGTCTCTTCACCTGCAGTGCCGGCACCTGCAGCAGCTGATGCAACAGCATTTACCGAATTGTTAGAATTGGAATTAGAGCTACCGGCACCTGAATTATTAGAGTTGGCACCAGCAGAGTTGCTGTTGCGGCCGCGACCGCTGCTCGCGTTCATGCTGTTGTTTGGATTCGGTGCGGTGGCGGTTGAAGCGGTTGAACTTCCACTGCCTGCTCCGCTGCCACTGGCCGCCGAAGTTGATGACATTCTCTAGGCGGAAGCTTAGATATTACGTCGATGGTAACCTGATGTTAACTTGCGCGTGCACTGGGCGAGTTCAACTTGACTTATCGCAGTCAAATAGGTGGCGCTAAGCGAGTGACCTATTAAAAATATATGTAATGGAAACATAAATTGATCAAAAAAAAATAGTTCTAATTTTATATAAATTTCCATTGCATTGCAACCTCCCAAATTTTGACCTTGAAGCCCGTTTTATAATTGAAGCTAATTGAAAACGCAGAAGGTTAAGGACAAAAATCCGCTTTTTACTGCCTTAATGTTTAATGTATGGCTAGTGTAAATTAAACGAACACATTTTAAAAATCAAAATCGCTACAAAAACGTACTCCTTTTCATCAGGTGGTATCCGCTTTAGGGGCATTGCCCATTCAGTCCACCCTACACATTGCTGCTTATGCCAGCGCTAGTAGATTTAGCGGCCATTTTGGGAATTCAATAATGAAACGAAGAAAAGAAAGAAGCAGCAGAGTTCAGTGAGTGGATGGATGACGAATTGCTGTTATAAAACAAATGTACTTTCATATCATCGGCTACAAAGAATTCAAAGCCACCTTTTTCGAAATCAAGAAAAATCAATTACGAACGGCGTTGGCGAATTGAGCAGTCATGTAAAACTCCCCTAGTCCATGCTGTATTCATAGTGTACATTGGTGGCGGACGCCAACAGCACCAAAGTGCAGCGCAATATGATCGTGCGAAGCATTGAACAAAGCTGGCACAGCCAACAAATTTTTAAATACTCTTGAATGGATTTGAACAACTCTGATCCCTTCGTACCTTTTTAACCTTACGCATTTCCTGCTAAACACATCCTTCAAAGCGGCTACTCACTTCCACTTCGTACAAATAGTGAAGCGTAGCTTACCCCCGCCCGCAGCATTTACATTCGTATCTTTCTGTACATATCAATGTATGCATTCCTTACTATGCACCTTCTAGTGAAAATTTCCATATCGGCACTGGGTACTTGCCTTCACAAAGAATCACTGCGACTCGCGACCGTTGTTCTCCAACAAATTTCACTTTTTATATAAGCTCCGTATTACAGAATTCCTTAAATTTTCTCTTATTGCGAAATTATACGAAATAACCACAAAAAGTCTTAAATTCTTCCAACAAACGAAAGTCAGACAGACAGCAATCAGGCAGCAATTTGATTTTTCTTTTCTTCAGCTTCTCTACTTATTCGTTTTTACAGACCTTCCTCTTCCTTTTTTCAATTATCAAAAACTGTTTCTCGCCTTCGCTTTTGTTGTTTGAGATTGTCGGAGTTGTTGTTGGCTGCAGTTTTTTGCAAACCAACGAACTCCCTTCGAAACACGTGAGCTAGAAAGAGAAAACTATAATATGCCAGTTAGCCGGCAATTGCTTGCATATTCATTTTATTGCGAAAATTGACAGCGCAGCCAGCAGTGTTGCCGTTTTAATTTTCGACCACATTTAAAACAACCAAAGTTCGAAGTTTCGTATTAATTTGGAGGAAAAGTGAAGTGATTATCGTAGAGACTACTTTCAAGCAATCGTACAGTTCCATATAGAGCGAAATACACCACGCTACCGCAGAATTCTCAACGGCCTGGTCACTTTGATAATATAAACACAATAAATCAGTGTATTTTCTTTCTCACATTTATACCAAATCTAAACCAAAATCTAATTCTTAAGAATATTCTTTCCAAATAAAACCTTTTTATATTATTTTGATCCGAATTTACTTTTAAAGTTCTCATCAGATTTCGCAAAAAAATAGGCTTTGTGGTATTTTATATGGAGTTCTTGATTTTCTTGAGAGCTGCATACTGGCCTTATGCAAAAAACCGGAACGACCCAGATTTATATCTGGCAAAGGACTGTCACTGCAGCAACACTTTTTGTTAAATAAAACATTTATTGTAAAGAAAATGTTTTATACATTTAATTGGTGGAAGATGAAGTAATTTCACAAAAGTGAAGTGACAACTTCCAAAGTGAAGTGAAACAATTCAATTGAATTCACTCAACACTGGCAGCCAGTATTGCCATTTCGCTTGATACGTAGCATTGCCAGCTGATTTCAAAAATAATCTTGGATTATTTTCAAAGCTGAACGAACTTCAAATATAGATGACACGAATAGATTATCAGGTCCATTCTGAACAGAGACTCCCCAAGAGTTTAAACTCTTTTCCCTTTCCTTCTATCATCAATAAAAATTCCACGAGAATTTTTTATTGTAATTGACGTCGTTGAGCTGTTTAAAAAGTGGCAAACAGTTCTTTCGAAGTTCGAATTTCCTCCTCCCAAATTTTCGCAGAAAATGCTACTCTCTGGGAATTAATTATTGGAGAAACAAATTTCCCGAGAACAAACTCTCCGGGAGTTTGCAGAATTGGGCTGTATACAAATGTTATTAATACTTGGATAAGTTCTCAAACAGACCAATACAATTTAGGTATAAAAAGGAAACTTCAAAGTTAATTAAAAATTAACCAAAACAAGTGTTCCAAACATCGTCGTTTTCGATTTGAGGTTTTTAGTATTTATTATTATTTATCAAAAGTTAATTTAGCTCGTGGAAAATATAACGTCTGATAGTTTTCTCAGAAAACTCTTTTCGTCGACTTCGGAAGAATTTATTTGCCCTCGTCCATGGCTTCCGCGGAAACGGCTTTACGTGACTTGAAAACTCGCACAGTGTTATCAGCACCCCCTGAAACGATATACTTTGGATTTGACCAATCAATGTCCAGCACCTTATCGCCATGACCCAACAAATCGTATAGCGGTGCTTTAGGGCTAAAATTAATATATTGATTATTGAAATTGCATGGAAATTATCTAAAGGTTTTGTTATCACCTTCTCAAGTCCCAAAGCTTATCTTGATTATCATAGGAACCAGATACGAAAAGAAACTCTTCATTTATCGACCACATTACAGTTTGCACCCATTGGCTGTGACCGAAGTATGTACTGCGCACTATATTTCCCTCTAAAAGAAAACTCATTATTAGGCTAATCAAGTATCGCTAGCAAAACCTACGATTTGTGCGCGGATCATAAAGCCGTAAATTTTTATCCGCCGATGCCGTGACAATGAGGCGATTCAATTTAGAATAACTTGCGTCAAAAATGGACTTGTTGGCAGAAATTTCTGTTTTTATACCCTCGAGATGTAGATCCCAAATTTTCAACGTGTGATCCCAACTGCTGGTCAAAAGTGTATCCGCATCCATCCATTGTACGGAAGATATGCATTCACGATGTCCTTGCAATGTCAGTTGAGGAACCTTGAAGTCAACAATAATGACCAGAGCGTACACATATGGAAGAATCACCCACTCACCCTAGTTGTGCCACTTTCTTTAGCTCGTTTGGAAGTACCTTCTCCTCCTTCATTTATTTCTAAATTAAAAAAATTATTTTGGATTGCCTGCTAATTCAGATTTGTAAATTTTACTTACCCGCCGACCATATCTTGAGCATTGTATCCCAACTGCCCGTAGCGAAACGAGATTTATCCGGACTAACATCAACGCAATCGATTCCTCGCTCATGCCCTTTACACACCGATACGCATTCCACCGAGTTCGTTCCAACCAGCCATTCCCATAGCATTGCCGTTTGATCCTGTGAGCATGAAACGAATTTACCACGCTCCTCGTCCACTGATACCCAAGCAACCGCCTTAAGTGGCTGTGTATGTCCCGGTATAGTTAGGACATGCTTTCCTTTCTCCGTCCAAATGTTGATGGTGTTGTCGTAGCAACCAGTCAATATCCACTTGCCACATACCTTGACCGCAGATACCCAATCATCATGCAGCAAACAATCTTTAGGTTCCGGTGCTGGGAAACGTTCAACATATTCTATATCGATGGTATCTTCAAATGAAATTTCCTTTTCACGTAAATGATCGCATAATCGACCACGCAAATATTCATATATAACTATGAAATCAAAATCTACGGGTGTCTTATGGTCGCCTGCATTCAATGCGGCTTGCTCCAGCAACGCGTTTACGAATGTGTTTAACTCCTCCGTCGTTACATTGCCTTCGATTGTATAAGGTACATCAGGGACAGCATAGCTGGTGAAAGATAAATTTCATTAGTGAAGTTAAATATATATAACTTTAGCTTGGAAGTAAATTTATACTTACTGTTCCTGTTTAGTCTTCAGCCGCACTTGCACCTGTCCCTCGCCGTTTTCTACTTCCATTATTTCGAAAAGTTCTACACCTATTTGCAAAAATATCGTTGTTAGCTATGCTCCAAAGCATACACTTTTAATTTCAATATAATTGTCGATACTGGTAGCAGTTTTTGACTCAATATTATACAAAAATGTTGCTTCGAAACAAAACCACGACGACTTCCTGGTGTTTTGACAATTTTTGCACATGTTGGCTGAAATGTCAAATGGTAAATGCCGATTGTGCTTGACGAAAATGATTGACAAACGATTGAGAACTTAAGGGTCGTTACAAATAATACGGCAATAGTTGCGTTCCACAAGCAGTACGATTTGCAGGTTTTGCAAGATTTACAGCAAAAGCTGTTTTCGCCATTAGGTTTGTTACACACGCTTTCTGAGCTGTTTCGGTAATTAGAGGTAAAAATAAGTTACTCTCTCACAAGTTCCAAAAATGTGTCAACCCGTGCCAAAAGTGCGCAGAGCGTGGGGAACGCAGAAAACCAATTTTCGTGCCCGGAATCAATAAATCAGTTCTAAACAATGATTTTATGTGTATTTATCTTATATATAGCTAATAAAATTAGCAAATACCTACGTTTCTGAACCTTTAGTGCTATTTCCCATTTTTGTAGTTTACAAAATTTACTATCGGATGTAAACAAACAACAGCTGTTATTTTAAATTCACTTCTTCCACATTTCTGCCCGGAAAAGAGGTCCGGGTTGTTTCGGGTACGAAGAAGAAGACATTTACGATCCAAAAGTGGAGAGTATTCGCTCTCTATTATAAAGGAGAGTAACTCAGCAAATTTATAGGAGTTGACTCAATGACTCCAACTCACTTTAGGGAGTCAGTTCATTTAATTAACTCATTTGACTCTTTGTATATTACACTCATTCGTATCGTAGACTCGTATAGCGGCCGTTGAGATAAAACAAAAATTTTAAGTGGGCGTGGTCAGCTCCCTTCTACTGATATGAAAGGTGTAAATTTTTTTGGTGCAAATTAAAAGGGTCGGTTCTAGGGGGAGCGTAAGGGTGGAATTTTCAGTATTTTCAAAAGCTTATATTTCGCTTTGCTCGTTTTTAATAAAGGTTAGAAAAGTTATACGCTTTGAAAATTAAAATTTTTAAATTATATGCACACATAAGTTTAGTTTAATATAAGAAAAATGCAAAAGTTTGAATATTTTCTAGATGAGGGTATACAAATTAGTACGCGGACAAATCGAATTTCTTAGTAGGATTTTTTAAAAGCTAAGTAAGTATTTTCTCAAAGAAATGGACATTTGCACTGCTATTGTAATATTTCAACGGTTTACAAATATTAAAGCTCTTTAGTAAGTTTAGGTAGGTAATTATGTTCATACCTCCGGTCCGAATTTTATTATGAATATTGTATGTAAAAAAGGCCAGAAAAAAGCCACGAAGTCAGATCTAAATATCTGAGGATATGACCTATCCTATCATACGCCTATCGACCAGTTTCAAAACCGCTTAAATCGCCGTTGTGGCAAAAAATGAGATTTGGTAAATCCTTATTAAAACAACAGATTTGTAAAATAACAGCTAGAGAAAATACCGCCTATCAAGGCAATGCCTTCAAAGAAACCCCTTTTTTCGTTCTCCTGTTAAATTTGAGAGGCGAAAGATAGGCGGTTTTTCAGTTGGTCGATGGACGATTTCAGGGATAATAAATACATTTTTCGAAATTGTCCCAAACGTAAAAAAAAAATGTACCAAATCAAATAAAAATGTACCAACAAAAAATTTTAAACGCTTTCACTGAAAGAACGAATTGTTAAAACAAGTATATATTTACTTAACGCATTTTAAATAGACATCTTGTAAAAATATATATACATACATATATGTATTAAAAGTAGAGAAAAAATAGTACTGCATTTCACTTATTCATTCTTACTATCGGGGAATATGCAAATTCAAAACTTTGAAGCCGTTTTTCTTGAGTTTCGCTTTTTTGAGTTATGACACTATTGAAGAGCGATGTATTTACATATACTATATACGGAATAGCATTTTTACACATTTTATTTTTACTATTTTTTTTACTAAATTGCAATTCTTAAATGTAGGTAGCAAATTTCAACAACGGATTTCTTAACCCTGAACCCCTACGTCGATGCTACTATAGTCGAAGAAATCACATATAAATTTTGGTCCCGATTGATGTCGGTTATGGCGTGTCGCACAGGGGCAAAGTTCACATTACCCTATGAAGACGTAATCTGAACTTTTATGACTATTAAATGAAAAAAATACATTTTAAACTTTTTTTTTAAAGCCATGTGTCCTTTGACCCCTTTGCGACACGCCTTAACCGAATAAATCGGGACCATTATTTATATGCGATATAAATAACTATGGTAGTATCGATTTTGGGTATTAGATACAAAAAAAAAATATTTTTTTAATTTGTTGAGTCTCCATAGAGGACTCTGTACTTTGCCTGCTGTGCGATACGCCTTAACCGTCTCCAATCGGGACAAAAATTTATTTGTTCTATCTGTGGCCGTGGTGTGGGTGAGACTGAAAAAAATCGTTAATTTGATTTTTTAAGCGCCACAATAATGTACATGTATACATAAAATTTGTACATATGTTGAAGATTTCGCTTAACGTGACTATTTAGCATGCAATGAGCGTACAAGCGCTGTCTTGTCCATTTGTTTGTACTTCCCGTTGGGTTACGTAGTTATTGAACATTGAATTGCGCTTAAGGCAATCAAAGCCGGCTCGCCGATCAAACGAGCAAACAGTGAAAGCGGCAAACAAGCAACAAATTAGAAAAAAATAATAATTAATCAAAAACTTACAACTGAAAAATATAATAACTGTATTTTCGTTAGCCAAACAATTGGTGTGCCGAATTTGGCTGCGATGTGATACCATCAAATTGCACATGTTGTGGTCAAAGTAGGAAACGAACAAAACATACATGGCTAACGAACTTGTTAGGCAACATGCTGCTGGGCCTTCCAGGCTTCAATCAACAATTGCCGACTAACTGAATTGACTTTCACTTTCTTTATTAGTTAAAGTCGCCTTTGCTGCGTCTTGCATAACTGATCAGCTGCTCTTGACCAAAAATTTAAACAATATCCTTTAATTATATTGGTTTTTTTTTTCTAAATCTGTATTTTTTCACACTTCAGTAAAAACTAATTCAACAGAAAATTATTATAAATGCAATTTTCTCAATAACGACAAAAAAAAATAAAAATTAATTTAATTACAATTTAGTTAACATCCTCGCGAACGCGCGTTCATAGCTCACTTATTCCGACCGATCTGATCGACTTGCGCTTGCAGATTGTTTATCACTTCCGATGGCACTTGATCGCCAAGAATTTCGAATAGGTTTATCCTTTGATTGCCGGGAATCGCTTCGTAGGCGCCCAGCTCAATGCCTTCCTGTACATTTTGAATTTGTGCGTCTTTGGGTATGAGGAAGGTCTGTTGTGCCTGGCGGATGGCTTCGTTGGTGTAGGCGGCGCCCTCACGCTGCGGGTAGGCCAAGGCGAGCGCCAAGAGGGTGCAAAACACAAACAGGGTTTTCATTTTGTTAGTTTTTTTTTTTGTGTGTATTGCTGCTGAATTCCAGGAACTGTAATGGAGGAGGAAGGGGAAAATTTTCAAATGTTAAAGAGTTTTTTGAAATATTAGCCGCCTTTGATGCGCCAACACTTGACGAGTAACGAAGGGAACGAAATTAAAAATGTTCGTTAAGCTAGCAGCGATGAACTCAAGCGAGCAGAGGAGTGGCGAATCGAAGGCGGCTATTTTAACTCTGCAAAATAATTTGAATTAAAAATTTAGTATAACGTTTTTCGGATTAAATATATTTTTATTTTTTGTTCCAATCAAATTCTCGCGTATTATTAAAACCAATTTGTATGTAAACAATATCCTCTTAAAACTTGCGCTTTTTTTACTTTTACTGCAGACACTTAATTGTCCCTTAAATTAGCACTTTCAGTTAATATATTTTTGTTTTTAATATTCCAACATATGTATGTATATTTTTCATTACACTTATTGCTTCGTAATTATGTAATCACTCGTACCACCGCTAGACCATCTTACCTTGCGCGCGTTCGATACGTGAATGTTTCGCGTTGCGCATGCGCTTGGCGTTTTTTATAAACTCGGCGCCCAACGGCCCCATGCTTCACCGTTTGCTAGTGGCATCCACTCAAAACGTTTTTGTATGTGTGTGTGTGTGTGTGTGTGTGTGTGTGTGCTGTCCAGTCACTTAAAAGTCTTTTCGCTTTCGTTGAAGATAACGCCATTGCAGGGAATCTTTTTGTATTGCAATTGAATGCGACATGTTGCGAATACTCATCGTTTTACTATTGCCAGCAGGTAAGTTAACAATCAAAAAAAAAACCTAGTAACCATTACACGCAGTTTACTTATTACAATTGTTGATGAAAGTGGAGAAGCTTATACAAACGCGTTGTGACTTTAAATTCGTAGTAAATACTTAAAACTTCAAAATGGTTTCGAATTTCAAATGGAAAGCACCATCATGGTACACTATTTCTTCATTGTTGATTTTTAGACACTTTGATGTTGGTTAGCATTGTTGATCCGTGGGATCTTACGAAGGCCATTAGCTGGTGCTTAGTGCTGTCGAGAAGGTGAAGGCCTATCCTCAAACCGTAGCCCTTATGCAGTTCGATAGCTTCATAGGTTTGCAATTTCCTTCGCTGAGGAGAAGAAAGCAGAGCCAAGGGAGCTGATTGGAAATCTCCAGAAAGCTGAACTGTTTCATGGGAGATATTCTAGCGTACTTTAGAGTTACCTTCTCTTGGGAGGAGTTCCAGTCGCTGTCGACTTAGTTGTAGCATAGATTTTAGCTTATAGGGCTGTTCCGAAGCCCAAGCTGTAGATAAAATCCATTTTAGATCCGCACGTAGAGAAATAATAGGTGTGAGAATAGATCTTCCCCTGCCACTGGTCTAAGGAAGGACATAGTCTGATTTACCGATGATCTCACATCAATGTAATCAAATTACCTTGTTGCCTATAGCGTCAGCACCGATTTTTCCGCGGATTTCCCTCACAGCTAATGCCGATTTCGTTTCTACAAAAATTGTTGCCTTCTCATCGCCCTCTTTTTAATGCTTGTAAGTAGAGGGCAACGAAATTGGCATAAGTCTTTCAGATAGATCCAACTTTAGAATTTTCTCTACTGCTGCTATGGGAGTGTTGGGGCCCCAGTTATGCATAGTTCCACAAGCCTTTGTACCTCTTCCAACCTTCCGATGTACCACCAAGGCATTATTGGTCTATGAAGAGCCAGTGCTGAAGTTAAGGGCATAGGCCAGAATTTGAGGCATTCTTAGCCACCTCTCTGGTCCAGTTGTGAATATCTTTTACTAAATATGCCCACGACTATTCCAAATTAGTCATCTAAGCATAAGTTAGCTAATCTAGGAGCCCTCTCATCTTAAGTATAATCTTGTTGATCACAATCATCCAACGCAAACGGGGATAGGATAGCTCCCTGAGGCGTGCCTCTGTTTACTTTCCCCAATATCTTCAGTGAAATCCACTCAGCCATCACTGTCCGGTAGTTCAGAAGATTAACCATTCGATGACATATGGCTTGATTAACTGCTGAGTCCAGACCCTCCTCCGGTGGAGACGTTATTGAATTTCCCGTATTGAAGGGCTCTTTTTATTTGCAATACTACACTATGAATATCTATGTCTGTTGACTTACGATTCGTATAGGCCATTGTTATCGGGTGTTGCAATTTCCAAAAGAAAATTTCGAATCGAGTTCATTCGGCTACGGAATCCAGGATTCGGCCCCACGGCTTTCTTAAATGCCTTTTTTGAGATCAGCACCAATGTAGCCATTCTTCAGGTAATTTTAAGATTTTTTGAAAATTACGTCTGAAACATTTTTTTTAAAAGGTTTTTATATACTTTCTTGGTGCTGATTGATTCTTCCGACAAGGTGAGAAGATGACGGATTTTGGAGAGAATTTCCACCATCCTTTGTCAAATTGGGTTCAGAGACAACATAGCTTGGGGATGTGCCATATTCAATGTTATTTTCGTATATCATATATTTTTATAGTATATTCGTGTTTTATTTTTATTCTACCATTTTCGAGCTTAAAGATTTTTGAATATTGACTTTACCTTTGGTCTGCTGGACGTACATATGTACATTTAGTTCTACATAGTAAATATGTATACGTTTATATGTTCGAAACCCAAATTTAAACAGATTAAGGTCTCAAGCCTTGAAAATCATTTTAAGGGATTCACATAGTCTCATAGAACTATGATTCGCAAGGAAAAATCGTTAAAATTGCATTTAAAACTACATAAGTAAGAGCATGTTATGTAATCTAAAGAATTATTTTAAAAATTGTTAAACATAGAACATCTTTATCATTTAAGACCTTTTCTGAAACTGTTACTCAAAAAAATTCTAAAAAATCTGATTAAAAAGTTAGAAATTTTCATGAAAATTTGCTGATTTTCCGCGAGTTTTGCACAAAGTTTAGGAATTATATTTTTATGTTTTTTGTTGTAGAATGAACCATATTTTTATACGAAATTAGCGGAAAAATATTAAAATGAAAACTGTTGCATTTATTGTGAAAAATTTGTTGTGTCAATACTTTGTTCCGGCAGTGTACATGTTTGTACATTAGAGGGCTGCATGAATTCATTCAAACTTCTAGCCAAACAGAGTTCATACAAAAAATTGTCATTTATTTCAATTCAATTTATTTTCACTTTGTTTGAATGTTGTAATGTCGACACAAATATCAGAACAGCTATTCACTCAAATTCAAAAAAATTTGAAGCCAAAATCATTCATTCGTTTTGTATATGAATAATTCATAAGCCGTTTTGAATGCATTCATGCAGCCCTCTATTGTACATACATAAACTAACTTTTTTCAAAAGAAAATCTCTTATGTTACTACTCAAAATGATATTTATTTTATGAGCATTGTTAGAAATTTAAAAATTTATTTTTTACTTTGCTTTTGTACTGCTCTGTAGTTGCTACTTTGGGGAGCAGCTAACTTTGCACTACACTTGCACTTGCAACTATGTGTGCAAAAATATTTGTGCACTGTCAAAAACTGCCAAAAGTCAAGTCGCATCAAGTCTTCAATTCTAAAATTTATAGTTCCACTTGACATTACTCACATAGCAATTATAGTTGTTTTTTTCGTGCGTACATGTTTACCCCGTGATTGGTGCGCAATTGTACGAGTAAGTAAGTTATTCGTGTGCAGATTGGTGGTAATGAAATCTGCGTGAACTTAATGGCCAACAAGATGTTGCATAAGAAATCCTCCACGCAAAAAAAAATTAAAAACAAAAAAAAAAAATAAAAATAAAAATGCAATACTCGTTCATTAAAAAAACAAAGTGGATGCACATGAAATGCCAAACTACGAGTACATAAAGTGGCACGAATCCACTTTGCTTTACTTGTTTACCTGTAAATCGGTCAGTGCGGTCAATCGCAATTTAATTACATTCATCGGAAATATTCATGCATTCATAAAAACATACATACATACATAGATACATATCGTCGTTTAAAGTGCAAAACCGCGTAACTGACATTGGCTGCCAAAAATTGGATTTGCTCACACAAGCTCTTGGCTCAATCCTTATCCATTCGTCCTGAAATATACTAGCCAGAAATGCGATTGCTTTGCAAATTAAAAGAGAACCATTTTGAAATATGACTGTTTTTACTCTCCTGAAAATAATTTATGCAACCTCACACACGCGGTTTTGCATTTTGCTGATACGCGCTTTTGCATTTTGCTGATACGCGGTTTTGTACTTTAAACGACGTTATGCGTAAAAATGTATGCACGAAAGTACATATCGCACGCCTACATCTAAAGTGGGCTAACTCAAAATTCATAGATTCAACGCAATTAATACGAAAACAGGTATAACACTAGTTTTTTAGTTAATGTATATAATCATCAAGAAAAATTTTTTCCATTAATTGAATGTAAGTCCTATGAATTAATTTATTTATTTGCCATAAAATCGCCCAATTTTTTTTTTTTTAGTTGATCGCACTTTAAATCTACATGGGTGTGCGATATGTTCATGTGTTTGTATGCGAATTTGTAATTATACTACTTTCGATTTCATGGAAAAAGTTATAACTCGTGAAGAAATAAATAGGCCGAAAAGTGTTGTGGCGAAAAAGAAATAGGAAATAAATAAATGTACATTTAAGCTCTACCCAGAATTGCAGCGTTCGTCGGTTAACCGCTGTCAAAATTAAAACTCACAAAGGCATATGGAATGGCTCATAATTCCGGCGGCAGCGCTTTTACCACCGATGTTTTTCGGTTGATTTAAATTTATTTATATTTTTATATAAATACATTTGAATATATATATATTTATATTGTGGATTATAGTAATTTTTATTATTTTCATAAGTTTGGCAATGTTTTCATCCATTTTTATTTTCAGAAAATCTACGTACACGCACGTACCGAAAAAATATTTAATTTTAATGATAAATTTTGAAATCAAAATGACAACTAATGTAAGCCATCGTGCGCCGCAATTGTGTTTACTCTAACGGATTACATTGCGGCAACTATAGGGCTGTTCACTTGCCGCCGATTGCTTTACCGTTGTCCGCTGTAATTTTGGGTAGAGCTTTAAGAAATTAACTGAAAAACAGTAATTAAATACCCTCTTACGCAAGTAAAGCTAATGTGCTTGTTGGGAAAGAGAGATTTAATAAAATAATTTAGCCCTTTACTATATTACTAGCCTTCATCGATTCGCCAACAGTTAGAGAGTGGCGAAACGAACGAACTTAATGAGGTACACCCAAACTCGCTATCGTCCATCTTCGTTAGCTAACTTTGTTGTTGCTTTCAGATGCAAAATTGTTCGTTAAGCAAGCAGCGAAGTGGCGGATTGATAACGGTTGCTATCTACTAACAGTAACCCCTGCCACTTACTGGTGAGGATGTCGATGAAATCATCAGAGAACACAAGATGGGATGAGCTAACAGGCTAATCTGCATTGCGATTCATTCGGACTCGAATACTTGAATTTGTATTAGTCCCTGTCGCCTGTTCGAATCGCAATGCAAGCGTTGACAAGTTTCCGATCTTGATAGAA